AAAATGGTGCAACCACTATGGAAGGTGCAAGCACTATGGTGCTTTCTCAAAAAGTTGCAAATAGAAATACCATTTGATCCAGCAATTCCACTACTGGGAATATACCCCAAAGAGACCATAACCAGCACCCAAGCAGATATATACACACCCATGTTTATCGCGGCTTTGTTCACAATAGCAAAGAGTTGGAAACAACCCAAGTGTCCTTCGACAAATGAATCTATAGAGAGGTTTGGAATATTCACACAATGGAATACTATGCTGCATTGAAAAACAAGCAACTCATGAAATATTATACAAAATGGGTGACCCTGGAGGACATTATGCTGAGTGAAATATCTCCATCACTAAAGGACAAATATTGCATAGTGCCACTGTTGTAAAACAGGACTGACATCAGGGTTGGGGGGAGATGAGAAAGAGGAGATAAATAATGTATACTGCACTGAAACAGATGAGGGAGAGGACTGTTTAAAGGGTATATATGATTATTATTGTCATGACATGAGTCCAGAATGAATGCTGCATAGTGCACTGGACTTGGGGAGAAGGATTGTATAACAACAAAAGACTTTTTATTTTACTTTTCAAAGAGAAGAGCATATTGGATGGGGGGTGGGCAGGGAGAAAAGTGCAACAATAAATGAATGTGAATCCAAAGTTTCTGTAAACTCTCATTATAATTAATTAAAAAAAATAGGGCAGGGTTCATAGTTACTGGGTAACAGGCGACTCTGTGGCACATATCATCAGCAACAACATCGAATTTTGAGGGTTGTACTGCATGTACAGATTAATTTAAGGATTGTTGATACTTAATAGTACTCAGAATTATTACCATTGAGTCAGAACTAACTCGTGGCTCACTCTCCAGCAGGTTGCTGGAGGCTGTAAATTTCATGGGAAGAGGCTGTCCATCTTTCTCTGGTGGAATCACTATTGTATTCAAACTGCCAGTGGCGTACCACCTTTGGGTTAACAGCACAAATTTCTATGGCCTAAACTTCGTTCCTCATTTTCAAGTTTCCTACCTCTAGTATCTATTGTCTTATTGCCTGTACTTAGAAAGTAATGTATTAATGATAGCTTTTGTCATTCACAAATACAAAAGATTTTATTGTCTTTACTTTTACATATAGACCTTTAATTCATCTGGTTTTATTTCTATGTATTGCATGAGATAGAAATATAACTTTATTTTTTCCATCTGGATGCAAAAATTTTCCAACATCATTTGTTAAATGGCTTAGCCTTTCCTCATTATTTTGAAATGTCACTTTAATCATATTCTAAATAGATCTCTGTTTTGTTTTTGCTGTTAAGCTAAGTCTTTAAAACTTAAAATGAAATTAATTACAGTAGAAAACAAAGACAACAGAAGCAGACAAAAAAAGACATCAAGAAAAAGTTGTACACAAACTATTTAATATATCTAGTTAAATATAAATCTTCTTAAAATAGCATAAATATAAATAATTCAGAAAAAATACGCAAAACTCTCATATGAAAGAGTCAAAAGACAGAAAGTCATACAAAACAGGTTTGTAATAAATGATTGTTCAAACATTGTTTAGAGTTACTAGCATCATATGAAGGTATTTGAAACCTCAAAGCTGTAAACATTCTCCAATTATTTGGTTTTAATCTAAATCAGAGGACTCAAAGCAAAGTAGAGTGTTGATCAAGTAAAAAGCAGGCCTGAAGTTGGGAAAAAAGTAACAGTCCCTTTTTTCCTTGTAACTCAAGTTTCTGTGCTTTCTTATTTATATTTCTGAGATTCTATACTATTTTTAAACTTCCCATTTTTTGGCATTGGAGTAGAGCAAAGTTAGCCTTTTGAATTTTCTTTTTAAACAAGAAGAGCTGGTTAAGATTCATTGAGATGGAATGCCAAAAAGGGTGAGTCCATGTTCAACCCCGAAACCTGGTAGAAAATTCTAAAGGGTCTGTACCCATATACCTGCATGCAAGGCTTTGGAACATTTCTATCAAATAACAATAACCTGTATTACAATTGTCCATTCCAAAATCTGTTGGCCATACTTAGTCCTGCAAAGTTTAGAATGCTACTACAGGTTATGATAACTACAACAAAGCCAATGGATAAAACTAGCTTGTAAAGTTACTCATTTTAGAATATGAACAAGAATGAGGAATATAAATCTTCATTTTCTTCTGTCATAAATTTTAATAAAAATGGGCAGAATAATCAAATACAAAGGTAGTTCACTAATTTTACCACTGGATAATATAGAAAGATGGTTAAGAAAATGCATTTCTACATACTACTATTAAAAGAAAAGAGTACCTTGTGTTTCTCACAAGCAAAATTGTATTTCTAAGAATTACATTTGCATAGAAAAAACCTGATAAATAACAATATCAATAACGATAGCAAGAGCACCAACAACTGCAAATGAACCCCTTTGTCCTGGAGTTGAGGATCTGTGCGCTCCATGGCTGTGAGGGTGCTGGAGAGGTAAGATCTAACACAGATTATCTGAATCATCTCTCTTGTTATAAATAAAGCATGAGCAAGTCCACAAGATGTCAGCACACTGGAGCTGATTCATGTCTTAGTCACTTACATAGCAAACCCCTACAATGAAAGCATGCAATTAACTGGAAAAAAACCACACAAACCAACCCCAACCCAAACCCCAAAAACTTTTGATCTCAGCTCTGGTGGATACAACCTGGACTTAGGAGTTCATAAAATCAACTAAACAAATACAGATTGACTTGTGCCCCCCACTCCCCACTTTATAAATATCCAGTCCAAGGGTGTAGGAGTATTGGCAATCAGGTTAACAAATGCTGCCCTTAGCTGATTTTCCTGGAAAATCTTGCAGAACATGTGTGGGCTTTTGCCACCATCAATTGCCAAGATGGGGCTGGACACTTCTTGACTTGCTGGCACTGTTAGGAAAGCAAGTCCCTGGATAGACTTTCTACTTTCCAGGCTTCAGAAGAGTGCTAATTACAAAATACTTAAACGCTAAAAACTCATTCATGAAGCCAAGCCAAGTCTCAGATTTGGAAGCATTTAAAAATATCCTCGCAACAGTTGTACTACTTTATACTTTATCTATTTTTAGAGGCTCAGTGTTTGTTTTACTGGAAGAGAAAAAAAATTAAAACATGAAAATATGCCATGAGCAAAACCGCAATAATAAGCTGCACATACATGTTTGTAGGGGAAAATATTCAACATCAAACAGTTGACATGAAAACAGATTCTGCTGAGAAATTTTTATAAATAGCACTTATTACTTTGATTTCAATGCTAAGCATTTAAATAGAATGCCCTTAAAAGTTGTCAAGTCCTTTACTACACATAAATATCATTTTCTGACTTTAAACATTCACACACTTATTACAGAAAATTAAAAATGTATCCCATTTCTTTCATGTATAATTTCACAAACACTGTGTTGCTTAAATTAGAAAAATAAGAAAGGAATGGAAATATACATGATTACAAGGCTTAAACTAATCATTGGAATATACATGCTTCTCTGTATAAAAACAAAGAATTTGTCTTTGAAACTTTCATCAAATATTTGGAGGAGTTATTAGGCCACACATACAGAGATTTATCGATAAAACTGTCCCAACCAGTTGTCAACAGGCTATATCCAGTTATAGATACATATTTGGCTTTATCCCCTTTGAATATCTGAGCATTAACAACATGGAATGTATTATTATCCTTAAATCCCTAAAGAACAGTCATGAAAACGAATGGTCTAATATAATTGCTGCTGTAGAGCAGGATACATTCTCACGTTATATCTTCTAAAACAGATAAACAAAACACTTTTAAGAGACTCTGAATCACCTCCTTTTAGAAAGAATGAAAGTAGATAAAGGAATAATATGACTATTTTAATATAGTTAAAGTCTTAGTGCAGGGAATGGAAGAGAAATGTTGATTTCCACAATATCGTGGTATATTTTTATCACCCTCACCAATAAAGGGCACTTGGCCTGGTTAAAGGCTGACATAGGCCTCTGTCCCCAACACGGTCCCTGCGACCAAAAGACATCTCCAGTAGAGGCAGTTCAGGCAGAGGTACAGCTCTCCTCCTGACTGTTGGCAGGCAACAGGCATCATGGTGACACTTCAAGGGTCTAGACACATCTTTTCACGGCTTCAGGGATTCTTCTGCATCGACCCATGTAATCCACTTTAGCAATACTGAAAAAAGGGTACAATGAGGCTAAGAAAAATCCTGAGGAACACTTCAAATAATTTTCAGAATGGAAACTGTGACTCTGCTAGCCTTTCACCGATATTTGCTGCCTTGCAACCAGTTGGATGTATAATCACAATGGCTTGTTGTGGAGTCTAGGGTTCCCTAGCCAAAAGCAATAAAATTTCTGTCCGGGCATGTGCGCCATAAGAGAACACTGCATAAGTGCAGAACAATGGTTTTCCTGGGAGGGCCTGTGAAGGGATGAATAGAGTGCTCTGTGGTAAGGAAGCTGGGCAAAGGTTGTGCTGCTTCCAGCCCTCAGTGAAGATATTTTCAAGCCTCTTTTCACTTCATTTGTTCTGCATTCACTGAATGTACATTTTTTTTATGTCACAGGGACTCTGCAGACAAGATCAGACAAGGTAGCCTGACAATAGAGCCAAAGTTCAAAGCACCTATATTTTCAGGTAACAGTTACTGTTTGTCTGCATTAAATGTTTGGAGGGCATGTCACCATCACCTACTCCGAGCTTTTCACACAGTTTAAGGCAAACACATCATTTAGCTGCTGAGGAACTAAAACATCTGATACTTTTCACCTGGAAGTTGCAATGTTTGCCACTAATCAAAGCTCACTCAACTCAGGTGAAAACATTCTTCGGCTTTGGCTTAAGGTTATTTTAATTATTTTTATAAAACGTGATGTTTTTGAAAATTATTTTATGCCAAGATTTTTTTTAAAAAGTGACTGTGAGAATGATCAGAATGTCCATGTTGACAAACTTGCCACAGAATAAATAACTATGGAGTTGGGGAGCAGTCATCTGAGGTGACCGGTGAGGCCTGCAAAGGGATGGCTGAGTCCTCCTTAGAATCGTTCTCCCAGGTCCCAAGAAAGAGGCCACTCTCAGCTGGCTGACCTGAACACTCATCTTGTCTCTTGTCACTGTCTGATTGGTTTCGCAGGGAGGCCCGGACTGCCAGGGCCAGCACTACTAGGCGGTAGAGCTGTAACACAACCACCAGGAAATTCTTCACAGCAAAGAATACCAACATCTGGTTTATAACTTTAAAGTAGGTCATCAGTATGAGGCGGACAACGAGGAAAGGACCATCTTGGATGAAGACGCTGATCCCAATGTTCCACAGATCGGCACTGTACTGGCAAAAGAACAGGCTGGGGAAGCCCCTGGCCAGCACCGATGAGGGGCACTCCACATGCTGGACTGGAAGCACAAAACACACCGGTTAGTATTTAGGAAAGGCAGACATGTAACATGAAAGGAGAGGCATGAGTCTTAACAATGGGTGTTCTTCTTGTAAGGCATGACTTTGTAGTTTAACTTTGGGTGGACCGCCAGGCTGTTTAACATAATCAGTTTAATAATCAAAATGAGTAATCCCCCTCACCATTCAAAAAAAAAAAATCACACCAGAAAGGGTCAGTCCTTTAGTTTCAGGGCACTCCCACATTCTCCCAGAGCACTGTCAAAGAAACTGAAGAATACAGGAAACCCCCATGTCTGTATCTGGGTCTGCAATGCAGGGAGGAAATCGAGGCTCAGATTTAGGGAGCTGGCTCTGTCTCCTGATTCCTCCACTTTCTCACAGTGAAATGCTGGCCAAGTTACTCAATCTTGTTGGGCCTCAGTTTCCTAGCTTGAAATCTAGATAATGATAGCATATATGAGGAGAGGAACATATTCCTTGACTCATTTTCTTTCTCTGAGGATTACGCTGGATTGAAATGTTAAAAAAAACAAAAAACAACAAAACAAAAAATCAACTTAAAGTCACTGATGGTCCCTCCATCAAGTCTCTGAAACTATAAATTACAGTGTGAAGAGACTTGCCATGTTTCTCTCTCAGATCAATTGGTAAATAAGAACCATTAGAGACAGCTTTTTATCAGAGCAACATACAACACACTGTTGTTGTTATGTGCCATCAAGTCAACTTTAACTCACAGTGATCCTATGTACAACAGCTCCGAATACTGTTCTCTCTTGAGCCAATGTCATTGTCTCTGACACACTTATCCCCATTACCCCAATCACTGAGTTAATCATCTCATCCAGGGTCTTCCTCTCTTGTACTGTCATTCCACCCTTCCAACATGGTGTCCCTCTCCAAGGATTGGTCCCTCCTCACAACATGCCTGAAGTGTGTCACATGGAGCTTCAAAATCTATGCCTCCAAGAAGCAGCCTGGTTTCACCCTCTCCCGGATGAAGCTATTTCTTCTCTTAACAGTCCATGGTATATTCAATACTCTTTCCCAGGACCACAACTCAAAGGCATCAGTTCCTCTTCTATCACCCTTAGTCATTGTCCAACTCTTTGATAACAATTATTAAGACCATGGCCCGGATCAGGCACACCTTAATCTCTAGACTGACATCATTGCTTTCCAGTACTCTGGAGAGGTCCCTGACAGCAGATTTTCTCAATGCAATTTGTCTTTTTATTTTCTGGTTGCTGGTCTCAAGAGTGTTGATTGTGGAGCCAAGCAAGCTTGAAGCTGTTAACACTTTCATCTCTTCTCTGTCTATCAAGATACTTCCAGTTAGCCCAGTGGTGAGACTCTGTTTTCTTGATGCTGGGCTTCAATCTATATTAAAGGCGGCTGGTTGTATTTCATTGACTATGCAAAGGCATTTGACTGTGTGGAACACAACAAATTGTGGCTAACCTCTAGAAGAAATGGAATCCCAGAACACCTGATTGTGATTATGTGAAACTTACATCAGGACAAAGCAAGAAAACACTACAAAGTCCAAAATCAGGAAAGGTGTATGCCAAGGATGTATCCTATCTTCATAGCTTTTCAATCTACATGTGGAACAGATCATCCAAGAGGCTGGGCTCTACGAGGAGGAATATGGCATCAGGACTGGAGGAAGATTCATGAAAAACCTACAATATGCAAATTACACAACCTTGCTTGCTGAAACTGAGGAAGACCTGAGGCATCTGCTGCAGGTCATTCAATACACTAGACCACTAGAAATTGTAACTTCTCAAAATTCACATCTACCTGAAACCTCAGAATGAGGATTTCAACTAGTTAGCATGAAGTCATAGGGTGGATCCTAAGTTTAATAGCATTAGTGTACTTATAAATAGAGGCTACAGAAACCACGGCACATGGAAGAAAGAAGTCTACGTGAAGACAGAGGCAGAGACTGGAGTAATGTAGTCACAAGCCAAGAATCACCAAGGATTGCCAGTTATCCCTAAAAGCTAAGAACAGGCAAGGGAGGATTATTTTTTTTTCTTTAGAGTCTTCAGAAGGAATCCAATACCTTTATTTCAGACTTCTAGTCTCCATAAGTGGGGAAGAATAAATTTCTGTTATGTTATTCATCCAGTCTCTGGTAGTTTGTTTTATCAGTTCTAGGAAATTATGGTCAGACCATTACTTAATGTTCATAAAAGATTCTGTGAAATAGAGACTTTGAAATGTGACTTTGGTGTTGTGTGAATACCACAGAATAATGCGATACTGCTTGTTCTTTAAACAACTGAGACAAATCTCTTGCTGAGAGGAATTCATTTTTTTGTGTTTGGTCCTCCACTGTATCATCAGCAGTTTCTCCCCTTTTGCATTTTTTGTAAGCTTTGTAGCTTTCATTGAAGGTGATTCTTAAACAGGTTGAAGAGGGTTTTCTTTGTTTTTGATTGTCAAGTGTGACACGCCTAAATCACAAGAAATAGCATTTGCTCTTTTCCACTATTTAGAAATTTTGGTTTTGCTTCCAAATCAATGCTTCTCCTTTGTCTCTTGCTGCTGCCTACTCTCATTAGTATAGATTTTGCTGCATTTAGAAGCCATGATGCACTTCATGGTAATAATTTGGAATGAGAATTAAACAGAGAGATAATGTTAAACCACTCAAGGGACATGTTATACATTATAGTCAATACGCTTGTACTGCCGTCTATGGGTCAAAGCGTACAATTTATTTGGTAAATAGTTCAGATATAATGTACAGTTAAACATCATCTTGCAGTGTATCATCTGTCTCTTTGTATATAAGAGACATAAGATATAAGTATCACACATGGGAAACTACTGTGCTTAATATATTCTACCCAATGATTGGGATTCTGAATGATATTATAACAATATGGGACTATGGATACATACTTGATCAGATGTTGCACAGACAGACATGTGGTACATGACTGTAGTATAGGGATTAATTTGAATTAAGGTAGCATTCCTTGCTTCTTTCTAATTTTTAACCCTTTCTCATATATTTTGTGATAATGAGTGATTAACCTGATTAGAACATTTTCAAGGTGGAACAGAATATACTTGGCGCAGCCCCTTTGGATTGTTTTAGAAACTCCTTATTTATTTATTCAGAACATTGTGGTTCCATAGTCCATAGGGAGTTTCACTGCTAACTCCAAAGCTCCAGGGGAGGAAGGTGGACAATCTCTTCCTATGTGATTTACAACCTCAGAAAATCAATGTAGAGTAAGCCATAAGCTGGTTCTGATTGAAGCACAATGAACATTAGCAGTGAGTAGTTCTCGTTATTAGGTGCCATCAAGTCAACCATGGTTCATAGCAACCCTATGAACAACAGGTCTGAACCTTTCCCTGTCTATCCTATTCGTATGATCCCTCAAGCTCATTGTGGTAGACACTGCATCAATCCAGCTCATCAAGGGTCTTCTTTTCTTTCATTAGTCCTCTACCTTTCCCAGGATAATGTCTCTAAGGATTGGTTCCTCCTGAAAATATGCTACAGGAAGTGAAATAAAGTTTTACCATCCATGTTTCTAAGGCCTACTTTTGCTGCACTTTTTTTAAGACTGATCTTTTGGGTTTAGGTTTTTTGTCAGTTGATGGTATATTCAATATTGTTTATCAACATCACAATTCAAAGGTATTGATTCTTCTTTTGTCTGCAGCACTTACTGCAGAAGATCAAAGACCATAGCCTTCAATATGGGTTGCATCTCAACATTAAGAAAACAAAAATCCTAACCATTAAACCAATAAGGCCACATCAGTAGATGGAGAAAAGACTGAAGCTGTCAATAATTTTATTTCACTTGGACCCATAATCAGTACCCTTGGTAGCAGCAGTCAAGAAAAAAAAATAAAGTAAGTGTTGCATTGATGTGGACCTCTCCAAAATTTTAAAGAGCAAAGATGTCAGTTTAAAGACTACAGTATGCCTGATCCAAGCCATGGTATTTTCATTTGTTTCTTATGTCTCTGAAAGTTGGACAATGAATAAGGAACAACAAGGAGTAGTGTGTAGTATTGAGTATTTATTTGTCCATTCCACCATACGTATAACATATACTGGAAAAATTAAAGTGTTTATGTTCAAATTCAAACTTAATTCATGTTAAACACAGTTTTCTAATGGTGGGGAGGAAAAAAGGTCCAAATAAACTATTGTTATTTTATTTTGTTCTAATTCCTCATGGTTTTGTTTCACAGTTTACAAGGAAGAAGACTGACAATGATTAATAATTTTCTAGGAGAACAAAAGGTGGTCTAATCAACAGATGAAACTTTTAGTTTTAATTTCTAAAATATCATTTTAATTCAGGGTCAAGGGAAAGAAATAATCCTTTCATAAAAATGAAGCCACTCATTTGAAATTTTCAAACAAAGAAAATCTTCATCTATTGGAGCCTGTAAATATTCTTAGGCTGCTTTGATATGGATGGACATAATGTACTATTTGTTGGAAAATACAATAGTGATTTAGTCAGAAGTAACATTTGGTCTTTGTTTTACAAACAGCTGCATAACATTAGCACCCTGAAAGTTTACAAAATTTCTTTCTTAAGTAAAAATTTTTTTCACAAGCTATAAACCACAAAATAGGGGAGGAAGGGTAAGGATTAACAGAAAAGCAGCCAAAAGGAAAAACAGTATATAATCTATAATACCTTTTTCTAAGACATTAAGGCCAGAAAATGGCTCCCAGAGGACCCCCTGGGGGTATTGCCCGACATCTAAAGTAATTGCAGCTCATATTTTTTCATATGACCTATGGGCTGTAGGTCAAAAATCTTTGTGTATATGTGTGTGATTGTATGTGTGTGCTTGTGTTATTGGCATGCATCTGTTTATCATTATTAATTCATAATTGGGTTTTTGGTATTTCAAAAAACAAACAAAAAATGAAAACCCAGTAACTCTTTCCAGTAACTCTGGTGACAATTTTGTTTGCCAAATGTGGACACTAGGATCTGAAGTGGCCTCTGAAATCTATGGACAGATCAAAGTTAACCAAAAATAGATATGGAAAATATTAAGGAACTCTGTTCTCAAGATAATTCTCATCCTGAGGCCATCTGAATAGAGCACAATAAAAAAAGAAGTCTGATTTAGGGAAAAGGTAATTCCTAAAGCCTAGAATTTCTGCAGGATAAGGCAACATCCAGGAAAATTCCAAACCAAGTTACAGAGATCCTAGAAGTTATGAGATGCCTCCATCAGTCTTAACAGAACTTCCTGTGATGATGAAAATGTTCTATAGCTGTGCTGTCCAATATGATACATGTTAGGTCCATAAATCACCATCCGAAAAACCACTGACTCTCATATGCAAATAACAAGAGTGCTTTATGTTGCAGAACAAACCCCAGCATGCAGGGGTCTATCTTTCAATAGAAATGGTGACCCTGGGTGAGCGCACACAGCCTTTTTACAGGTTGAAATGGGGCTGTTTGTCCAGAGTAAGGTAACTGGGAACATGATTGGTGGACGAGGGGAACAGTTACATGGATCGGTTTGTGATTGGCTTGTGCCTAGGCAGTCAACAGTCACGTGTCATGTACTCACTTTCTTGTGTCACATACTCACATTTTTGTGTCATGTACGTTAAACCTCAGGATAAAGTTACTTATGCAATTTTAAACCGTACAAGGATATTTAGGCACAGATGGCTAACCTTGAGCTAAGACCCTCCCGTATCCTTGTGATTATCTTGTGGTTGCTTTCTTTCCTGACTGGCTGCCTTTTGGGAGATGAATTTTTATGGCTTGTTCCTGGAATTGGTGATTTTTTAGGGTTAGGCCCAGGTCAGGCTTAAGATGGAGGCTAGGCACAAAATGGAGTCTGTACAGTCCTCTCAATAGACATGTGGCAACTGAGGATGTGAATGTGGCTAGCTTGAATGAAGAAATTAACTTTTCATTTTGTTCAGCTTTAATTATTTTGAATTTGAAGAGCCACATGTGACTAGTGTTTACTGTGCTAGACAGTGTGACTCTAGGCCATGGCTAGTATGAAATGCCTAGAAAACAATTAGTTTCTTGTAAAATTCTGGTACTTTATTTCTTCCTTAAAGTGAGACCAATAGGACTCAAAGGAGCACCTGAAAAGATTTTTAATTTTTTATGTGGTTTTGAAGCTGTTTGCTTCCCTCTGAGATTCTAACACATGGACATGACCTTGCATACCCTCCCCCCCAAAATGGCCTTCAATATGAAAAGCTAGCTCTCAAGTGCTGGCAACTACGCAAAGGATTTTATCAGTTGCACATTATTTAGTCACCAAAAAAGCTTTAATTTAGGCACTATTATCATTGGTCCTAAACTGAGGGATGCATGCCTTCACTGTTACGCAGGAAGCTAACAAATCACTCATGATGCAACCTGTCTGACTTGAGTGTAAAACTGCTTTGATTCTTAGGTTCACCATGTACAAAAATGAAACCACTAATGAATTTCCTAAGTTGTCAATCTACTTTTGTCCCAAATTAACTGGAACTTTGATTGGCATATCAACATAATAATTCTCTCATTATCTCCTCACCTTTAACTAAAAAACTTATTGGCATGGAATGGGAACTGATTCACAGCTGACCTGCTAGCAGATTTTCAGAAGCTATAATTGCATTGGAGAAATTTGTCTCAATTTCTTCCTCAGAGAAGCCAATTATTTAAACTGCCTGCCTTTGGGTTGGCAGAGCAACTCCTTAATGACTAGGCCACCAGAAATTAGTGCAGTTAATAGTCAAGAGTTACAATTTTCTCATTCCTTGAGTAAACATCCAGACACTTACCTGCTAGGTCAAGTGGAAACTGCAGCATGCTCCAAGTCCATATAGCAAGGATGGAATAGACTAATGCAGGGCTACTCCTAGAATTCAGACAAAATTTTAAATTAGTAATGGAAATTATAATTCTGTAAAGAAAAATCTTCTCAACCCATATTTAAATATATACCAATAGATGCCTTGTGAGGTATAAAAAATATAGTGTTTATGTTAAGAAATCCATGAACATGCTACATAAGACCAAAACTAAATAATGGAGTGAAAACAAATGAAATTGATATTTTCAGCCCAAATTCAACATATCCAATTTTTGTTAATTCTGCCTAAATCATGCCATGCTCTCTGGGTTCCATTTCGCTGTCTTTTGTTTGTGCTTGGTTGATTATGGGTGAAGTTTTTTTTCTGCTCTTTATTTTTTCATTTGCACGGAAGTTTATAAATCATATTGATTTTTTTCATTCAATCATTCTTACACATTTTGTTTTATAGCAATTACAATAGAAATGTCTTTCTCTCATTGCCACTGACTCAGAACGAATTTATAGCTAACCCTCCAGTGGGTTTTCGGGAGGCTATAAATCATATGGGAGGAGACTGCTCAACTTTTTTCCATTGAACCGTTGATGGATTCAGACCTCCAGAGAGGTTCCACCTTAGAGTTAACTGTGTAACTCCCTACAGACTACATCTCAGATCTGCTTTAAAAAAGAAAAAAAAAATCATGGAAATACTACACAAGAGAAAGGCTAGGACAAAGTTAGCATTGATCTGAATATTTGGAGGGTTGATTTAAAGAAATTTCAGGGAGAAAAAAGTGGTAATTGTTCTAAGATCCTGAGACTCTAATTGAAAAGGCATCTCAAGAAAGTAGATGCTGCTCCCCAAGTAAAAACTCAGATATAACAAGGAAACTATTATCAGGTGGGGGAAACATGAGCACCAGATAAGCCCTAGAAAGGAAAGACTGTGTTTCGTTTACCACTTGCATATCAGTGCTTAGGATATGGCTTGGAAAACAAAAGGCACTCAGCATATATTTATGCAAAGAATGGACGAACATGCCCAAAAGGGCCCATTTTTCAGAAATGATACAAATGTCACAGACCTAGAAAAATTATTTCAAAGGCTAAAACCAGAAACTATTGATATTACCAAAGCACAAAGGATAATGAAATGCATGTTTTGACAAGTTTTGGTTAGTTGTGGAATAATGGATTTTGCCTCTCTCTTCCATCAAAGAGTAGTTTTTAGATTGGTTGGAGAGGCCAGAAAAACATCAAAGAGTAATTGAACTGAAGAAAATGAGATGATTGGAAGGAATAAGTCTAAATGCTTCATGTGTTGAGACTCTGAAACATTAGATCCTAAAACTTTTGTAAATGAGATTTCTAAGCTATTCCTTGTCTTGGCAGTTAATGGTAGAGAAAAGGCTGGCAACAAAAAATGAAGTTTCAGTTTTCAAAATAAAGCAGAAATGTTTATTAAACTAAAAATTTGCCTTACTATTGATTCCAAATTATACTAAGTAATTGTTTAAAAAGATTTCTTATAAGTTCTTATAAGGAGAAAAAAAATCATAAGAAATCAGGACCATTTCTGTGAGAGAATAATCATTCATTGCTGCCAAGTTGGAGCCAACTCATAGCTGACCCTCCAGTTGGTTTTCATCTCCTGGAAGGAGACTACATCTCCCATGGAGCAGCTGACTGATTCAAAGTGCCAGTCTTCCAGTGGACAGTGCAACTCCTTAACCACTTGGCCACCAGAACTTCCTACCCTAAAAATAATTACTCAAATACAATTTTTTTTGTTTTTGTTTGTGTTTTTATATGAATTTAGAATCACCAGGTAATTGTGCATACACTAGTAGTAGACATACTGTATTTGGATTTACAAAGTTTCTGAAAAATCTCCAGTGACTGTGTGTGTGTGTGTGTGTGTGTGTGTGTAAGTACTGTTAGGTGAATTCCTAGATGTCTAAATTCTTGTCTCCAAACAGAGTTCTCTAATGGATTGCTTTAGGCTCTGGCCCTGATTCTGCTGAACTTCACAATCTTTCAATGACTTGATGGAATGCTCCTCCTATGTGCATATGACATGGAGCTTGGATAAAATACCAATAAATTTCAAGGCAGTTAGAATTTTAAAAGCTCTTTACATGATATAACTGGATAACCTAGAGAGGATGGATGAGATAGAATTCTACAACAGGAGTCATGAAAAAGGCACAGAATTTCTTCTTACTATTATCTAACAGTATACCATGACTTAGCACTTACCAAAATTAAGTACAATCATAGATTGCTTCACATATCAAGTCTAGAATTTTAAAGGCAATATCTTGGCCAACTAGGCTATAACATTCCCTCTTTGCAACATGGAAGTCTATATAAAATGGGCCTTCAATAAGTGCGCAATTTAAAAAATACTACTACTTAGAGTTTTTGAGTTGATATTATGTGCTTGGCAGTCTTCTAAATACCTAAGTGCACTTTCCTACTTAATCATCTTAATAAATTTATTTTTTCAAGGGGGAAACTAAGGCTTAGAATGTTGAAGTAACTTGCTAAAAGTAACATGGTGAGTTTTACATGTTATTAACTCAAACTGAAAGCTGATTGCAAAATGTATATTTTAAAACTTTATATTCTTTTCATAGATGATTTCATTCTAGAACGTAGAGAATATATTTAAGTGTTGTGCTTAGGATTTCAAGTTGTTGTTGTTGTTGTTGTTAGGGGTCGTTGAGTAAAATTCACAACAACAGATCTGAATGCAGTCTATCCTGAGACATCTTCACAATCTCTGACATACTTGAACCTGTTGCTGCACTCACTATGTCCATCTGATGGAGGATCTTCCTTTCTGCCATGGACTTTCCACATTCCCAATCATGATGTCCCTCTCTGAGGAATATCCTCTCCTAGCAATATAGCAAAGGATGTTTTATCACCCTGCTGTGAAAGAACATTCTGAGTGCATCTTACCAAGACATATCTGTTTGATATTTTGGCAGTCCATAGGATATTCAGTACTATTCTCAAATATCACAGATTAAAGACATCAATTCAATCCTTAGTCACTGTCTACCTCTTAAATGCAGAGCAAGTGACTGAAAAGATCATGGCCTGAATCAGGTAGACCTTAATCCTAAAAATGTCATCACTGCTCCTCAATACTTTGGAAAGTTCTCTGAATGCAGGCTTTCCCAGTACAATATTTTTCTTGATCACCTAACTACTGGTACAAAGGGTGTTGATTGTGGATCCAAGCAAGATGAAGTTGTTGACAGTTCCAATATTTTCTCCATCCATGGCATGGCCTATTAGTCAAGTGGTGAGAATTTTTGTTTTCTTGATGTTGAGGAAGAAACAATCCAATCCTTATAGAAGACTGTGTTCTTTGATCTTCTGCAGCAGGCATTTCAAATCCTCCTCACTTTTAGAAAGAAAGGCTGTGTCATGAAGAAAGAAGTTCAAGCTGCACTTAAGGCATTGGCAAAAAATTAGGCCTCAGGAATTGATGGAATACTAATTGGCACGTTTTAATTAACAGATGCAGCCCTTGATATGTTTGCCTGTCTACTCTAGGAAATTTAGAGGACAGCTAGCTAGCTGATTAACCGGGAACAAAAATCCATATTTATTTCCATTCCCAAGAAAGGGGATCCAACAGAATGAGGAAATTATTTAACAGTATTAGTAATATGACATATAAGCTACTGAAAATAACCCAAAAACAGCAAGAACAGTAGAACATTGACAGAGAACTTCCAGCAGTTCAAACTTTATTTAGAAGAGGCTATGGCACCAGGGATATTATTGCTTATGTCAGATGGATCTTGGCTGAAACAGGTTACCGGAAGAAATTTTTCTGTCTTTTATTTATTATGCAAACAGCATTTAACTATCCGGATCATAAAAAATTATAGCTAGCATTGAGAAAAATGAGAATCCCAGAACACTTAACTGTGCTTATACAAAACCTATACCTAGACCAGGAGGCTCTTGTGTGAACAGAGCAAGGGAACACTGCATGGTTTAAAATTAAGAAAGTTATGCTTTACGGTTATATACTCTCTCCATGCCTATTCATTTTCCATGCTGACTAAATTTTTCAAGAAGTTGGACTCTATGTAGAAGAATGTTGTAGCATCAGGATCAGAGGAAGACTCATCAATATACCTATGTTATGCATATGACATGTTTCAAGAAGGACATTTATGAATGAAGAATTTTAAAGGGGAGAGATTATTATGGGAAGGAATGAAGAGCCATATTTTATTTTAGATGGTTCAAGAAAGTAAAAGGTTGTGATTATATTTGTAAGTTTTACTTCACTAACTTACTTATCATGACTTCAGAGGGCCAATTTAGATTCAGCTGATTGAATTTACACCAACTGCAGGAAGTTGTAAAGTAGACTCTGTGTGTCTCTGGTAGTTTGAATCCATGAGTAGCTCCACAGCAGAAAGAATGGCCAATCTCCTCCCTTTGTGATTTATAATCTCAGGAACCCAATGGAAGGCCACTCTGAATCTGAAGCAAGTGGAAGGCCATGAGCTTGAGCTTGAATCATCCACAATTCATCACAATAGAAGGAGGTCCTTTCTAGTAGAGATGTTATGCTGCGTCACACCTATTTACAGCTGATGCTCTGGTGGGTTTATCCAGACCCTAACTCACATGGGAGATGTTTGCCCATCTTTCTCTGTGGAGCAGATGGTGGATCTGAACAGTGTGTCTTTGAGTTGGCAACTACTTCCCACTAAGCCACCAGACTACTTTAAAATAAATTTAGTTGCTTGTATGGTTACCATACTAGTGAAAATAAAATGTCACACACTTTATCATTTTCCCCATGAAAGTGCAATAATCCTTTTCCTTAGCATGGTCAAATGCAGTAAGGTAATAGAAGTAATAAATAGAAGAATCAATTTTCTTTAACTAAATGGTTTCTTTTCAAACAACTGTAATGTGCTCTCCAAATTTGTAAATGACTATTACTAAAACAAAGATTCTTACCACTGGACCAATTGGCAACATCATGTTAAATGGAAAAGAGGTTGAGAGTGTTAATAATT